CAACGAGTACAATGAATGGACCTTCAAAATCAATAGAAGACAATAATATCTAATTAACATGTGATGAATATCCTGTATGTGTATAATTAGAATAATCATTATAACTGTTATGTGATATCAGAACCAACACCAACTAGATAATTAAAGTGTACAATGTTAAATTCCACTAATTGAACATAAGCTGCCATGTTGGTTTGGTATATGTGTAATTGTTTCGTTTATCGCGGTTATCTATTGATCATGATTTGTTACTATCGTGTACTATTTTAGATTTAATAACAACAATTATTATAGAATAATATAGATGAATAGGTTTTTATGGGATGTAAACGAGCAAATATGGATCACCTGTTGGTCATTGATGAGGATGTCCTTTACAGGGGCTACCCTCTAAAGGAAATCCGCAACACCAATAGGAATTACAAGTACGTCACCTGCCAAATAGATCAAAGACGACAAAAAAAACCTAAGCAAATGAATTGTGACACACTTAAAATATGATCTGATAAACTTAGTTGTCCTTGTAAGTTACACTTTGGTCAGGTTACAAATTAAGGATTGTAAAGAAACAATTGTGTTCACGGAGAGGCAACGTTGCTTCAGCCACTCGTCATACAAATTCGCCTATCGTCATTTGCCGGTTGCTTTCGTTTGGAATATGATAAATAGTAAACTGTAACAGTATACCTTACTATACCCCGAGCGTACGGCGCGTCGGATTACGCGCGCGCCTCAAAGAGCCCTCAGACCACCACGGACGGGGCCGAATAGAGCTGATGCCGATACGGAGTCGAGGAGAACGTAAAAGGTTACCGGGGATCTGGCTCGAAGTGCAGGAAATTATTACGGGGTGGTTTTTAGTCAGTAAGACTCTGACATGCCGCCTCACCCAGGCGGGAGAAGTCATTCGATTTTTGCCCCCCTTAAGAAAAGACCGTACTATATAGGAATAAGATTCAAAGACTATTTCACAGAACTTACAACAGTAGAAATTACGTACAATATGTCTTCGTCAGAGTGTAAACGTAAATTTTATTAATAGTAAACAGTAATCCTTGAATTACTATTAACAAAATAGAGTATAAAAACCGCTAGTACACAGCTGTGCGTAGCTAATTCCAAAGTAGTTAATATTGATGTTGTTTATTGTAGCTATAACGATCTAAGCCTCGCTTATATTTTACCGCCTCTAATAGCCTATTATACATTCTTAATTCCCCCCGAGGTTCCTTAGTTCAAGACAACATAATAAATACCTATCCGAAAAATGTATTCGACTATGACCCATAAGTACTGTCTCAGTTTAGGCTTAGCTAGATAAAATAAATTAAATTACTTATGTCCATAATTTAAGTGGAGATAAAACGATGTTAAAATAAATATTTATGTAAATTTTATACAAGATTTTAAGAATTCGTTTAACAAAATAATTAAATTATTGTAACAATTCGTTTATGAACTACGTTTAAAAAACGAACTTCAATTCCTTTTTTTTGAGGTTGATTTATTAATAGATAGATATACTAAAACTTTCTTCTCAGCGTGACAAATACTTTTCTGAAAATTTTATCAAAATCAGTTCAGCCAATCGTTAGATAATCGCGCACAAACATACATACAGATCAAACTAAGAATCTTTTTCTTTTTTGAAGTCGGTTTTAAATATAATATTTGTATTGAAATGAGAGCTAGATGAAAATTTATCGGTTTGTGCTCTCCAAAGGTATTGGAGTTTTAGATTTGGATCAAATATTTTTTTTCAACAGTAGCACAAGGTGCGTTATTTCAAATAGATACACTATTAGGTACTGAGAATTTTGATCGAGACAGTCGGTGTATTTGATCAAAAAGTCAGTTTTAATTTGATTTATTAATTACTACCATTGATGTATTCGCGGTTTCATTTAATTATTTATTTCAAGGCCACAGTCTAGACGTCAAATTGGAAACGAAAATTAAATATAACATTATTTGATCAATCTGTTGTAATGTCAATAAACCGTACATTGATTTGATATCATTTGTTACAAATACTATGAACCTCAAACCAAACAAACTTGAAGTGAATAACTGAATTATATCAAAGTAAAGACCGACAAATAGAAAATAGTATTGAAAATGATTCGGTTTTCATGGATGAAATTTCAACACGTAAAGGCTTTTTACCTAGAAATAAATTCAATAAATTTTTTCGAACATAAATTCGCTTTCGGCGTTTTAGTGTTTCCCACTCGTAACACGACACCTAATTACACATTTCTTGCTCAATTTACCTGTTACGTTGTTCAAGCACTTCAAATCTTCAAAGTCGCAGATTCTCGTCGATTTTTCTGGAACAAAATGTGAGGCTTAATAATGTTTTCTTTTTTATTTTTAAAGCCATTATTTTTAAAGGTTAAGCCGGTAAACGAAGTGACGGATCACATGTTACCATGTGATTGGCGTCGCCCAAGGACACCCGGAACACTAAAGCCGTTATAAGTGCGTTTCCGGGCTTTTGAGGATTAGGAATTTGAGGATTGTTAATGTTTATGGATTGGAGAGATTGGGGAAGGAGGAGAGGGGGTAATTGGGCCTCTGGTAACCTCACTCTAACGACAAAACACAACGCAAGCGTTGGTTCACGTCGGTTTTCTGCTCGTTGGTGGTATCACCCCGGTCGAGCCGGCCCATTCGTGCCGAAAATTTTAAGTGATTAACTTGGTTTCTAATAATCAAATTAACTCCCACAAATTGCTTTCATTGGTTATCGACATTTTTGGATAGAGCGGCTGAATATAGGATATTTAAGTATATGGAAAGTTGTTATGGACTTTTGGGTGTATTGTTCAAAGAAAATACTAAAGTTTTATAAGTACTCGCAAACAAAAAATTCTCAACTATTCTTAATATAAACGCTTTCGTATTTCTTGCTCGTTCTTCTCTAAAGAAATATATAATCTATACATATAATAAAATTGTAGAAAAGTGCTGTCTGTACATTGAAAATAAAAATAAAAAAAATAGCAGGGGCTATTGTTATGTCGATGTCGAACCCAAAAATGTAACTAACTTTTTTTTTGTCTGTTTGTCTGTTTGTCTGTTCACGCTAATCTCAGAAACGGCTTATCCGAGTTGGATGCGGTTTTCACGAATATATTGTGGTATGCTTCAGTTATGCTTTAGTGTTTGTTTCATGTCAATCGGTTCATAAATAAAAAAGTTACGTCAAATTAAAGAATCACGTCGAACACTATCTATCTATCTATCTATACATATAATAAAATTGTAGAAAAGTGCTGTCTGTACATTGAAAATAAAAATAAAAAAAATAGCAGGGGCTATTGTTATGTCGATGTCGAACCCAAAAATGTAACTAACTTTTTTTTTGTCTGTTTGTCTGTTTGTCTGTTCACGCTAATCTCAGAAATGGCTTATAAATATATATATATTTAACAGGGTGCGGAAAAGGTGATAGTGGTTTTATTCCTCAGATTCCTCTCATTCCAAAAAATTTTCCGTTTAATTTTAAACGAATTCAGTTTCCAGTGAGCCTATGTTTCGCCATGACAATTAATAAAGCTCAAGGTCAGACTCTAAAAGTTTTGGGTATAGATCTAAGTATCAGCTGTTTTTCGCACGGTCAATTGTATGTGGCTCTGTCCCGTGTTAGCAATCCCAGCAGCCTGTATGCTTTCACCCCCGATGGCCATACGTCTAATATTGTATATAGAGAAGCATTACAGTAAAGTAGGTTTTTTAGCTACCCAAAATGACTGTGATTATGATCCAAATCTAAAATAAAAATAAGTATATATTTAAAAAAAAACGCTGCACATAGTCACTATTCTACGCGAACGAAGTCGCGGGCACAGCTAGTTAAGAATAAGTAAATGAATATACTAAATAATCGCGATGCACATAAGACACGCACTACATAGTTCTACTTAATTTTTAGACGTTAATAAGTGCTATTGTATCATATGGTTGTCTTTACCGTATCTAAAACTTACCTCTCGGATACTTATACGGCACACAATCACATGCATCCATATAGTTTTTCATCTTGCACTCTGTAACACAGGTCTCGTAGCTGTATCTATTGGTATGACTGAGAAGCACTTCATCATGGAACCAGCAGCCCCTGTACTGAGGCTCCACTCTCCTCACGTTGGAGTCACTTTGGAAAACCATAGGTTCCACCTTGATATCCACGGACTCACCAAAGGTCACGTATCGGTAGAGGACTGTGGTTTCTGGGTAGTCGTTTGGGTCACTGAGGAGGACCTGAATGTGAAAAAAGTTTCAAAATAATGAACTGGATTTTTCTGTAATTTTATGGACTTATGCAAAAATTGCTTTGTTGGTTATTTCGAGCTAATGACATGAGTCCATTTAATTAAAAAAAAAAATTCACATCTATTTGTTAATAACACGAAAATTGTAGCATTATGTTGATTATACATTGAAATGTAAATATTAAGTTACCTATATTTAGTAATCTCAAGTTGAAAGGAGCCTGAACTAATTCGGATAAACCTTACAAATAAATGGTAATACTAATAGCCTTATTATATACGTCATTATCTGTCTAAATTAATATAACTAAGTAACCCCTAACACACGCCTAATATTCCATTATCTTCAATGTGTGTAGATTGCTTATCATTATTAGTTTTTGGTACTATGGTATAGTTGGCAGCAGGCAACTACCCTTTACTATCAAATTTATTTATTCTATTTTTAACTCTATCGTTTACACATAAAGTCGGAAACCCAATAACAAAAATTTATACATTGATGCTGCCATTGTACATACTACCTTATCTTCTGTAGTGGTACCTATTCTAATTGTATGGCCTTTATTCACTTTGTATTCGATTAAGGACTTTTGAAAAGACGTTCCACCTTTAATTAATTTGGTACTGAAGGAGGTACTCACGTATATCATAGGTTATTGATCTTAAGTGAGCAAAATTGTATTGTAAGAGAAAATAATGTTTTAATTTGGATTTATCCCCATTTTCCTTCCATAAAACCTGTCCTTCAACTCAGACGTTTTTGAATCAGGCATAATTAATTTTAGCCTAAGTCTACTTAGATTTCAGACAGAAAAAAATTGGCAGTAGTTTTATCAACTTTTCGAATTAATCTTCAAAAGTTTTTCCTAGAACTACGTGAATCTACTAATTCTTTGATTGTTGAAAGAAAGAAAAAAAAGAAAAAGGAATTAGAGCCTCTGAAAAAGAAAAGAAATTGGACACTGGGCACACTTCAATATTGGGAACTTATTTAGACTTTTTAATTTGAATTTGCTTTAACATCGTCGTAATCCATTGAATGAGAATTATAATGATGTCGTTGGCAAAGGGCTACGTTCAGTAGTGGATGACATGTCTGATAATGTTCTAGCTTCCTTGTGCGAAGCGTTCACGCTAAGGAGTGGAATTCTTTGCCAGAGTCTGTGTTTCCTGAAGGATACATACTGTTGTCTCCAAGGCCTGACTGAATATGTTGCTTATGGGCAGACGTACTCCTACTCCTACTCGTACTCGAAAGCCACATCATCGCTTATTACCAAGCGAGATATTGGCCAGAGGTCGAGTCATCAAATATATAAAAAAAGATAATAATTCAATACTTAAAAACAAAAAGTCGTTTAGGCATGGCAAATTACGACTTTTCTAACTTGTATAACTTAGGAATGAAATTAGGTGTTAATTACTTTTTTTTATTATATTGAGTCTGACCAACCTCACTGATCGTGGCCTTAACTTTATTAAGTCAGTCGCCACTTTTGTATTAAAATTAAACAAAGGTTGGCGTACCAATATCTGTGCCATTGCTTAACAATATATTATTCTGTGGAGAGTTACCTAGTATTTGTTTATATCTGATATATTTTATATTAAAATAATGACTGGAGGCAGACTAATGGCTCGTTGGTTTACCTCCTTTCAACGTAATAAACTTGGAAAGATTTACTTAATAGTACAAATAAATAGATATTTGGTATTTCTTCAAGTATTACTAAATCTCTTAAGAATTATCTCATAAAATTTTCTTCACGCAGTTCTACGCGTGTTTGTTTTTCGATAATGGGATTTTATTATTATTATCAAAAAACGACGCTTATTACGAAATATATCTATAAAAGTTTGGTATGACGATCTCTGTTTGGGCAGAAAATAATATATAAATAATACGTTCAAGTCCTACGGTAAAAAAAGGAATAGATACCTTCACACCATAATAGGGTACGGGAGACCAGCTTGGGTAGTCGTTCGGTTCTATATTGAGCACTACACTTAGGCCTGATCCCCTGGGGAAATAATATACAATTTTGATAAAAATTATGGTACATGTTAAGATGATGGAACATGAAATGTGTTCTATCGTCTTAGAGAAGATGATGTCCAGAGTAAGAATGTTATAGATTGACATTATAGCCATATATTAATTTATATAATTATTATATAATAATTAAAAATAATAATGACCGCACGGTTGATGCGGTGGCTGGGCAACTGGCTGCCGTGCAACGTGTCGCGGGTTCGATTCCCGCACGAGACAACACTTTGTGTGATCCACAAATTGTTGTTTCGGGTCTGGGTGTCATTGTGTATGTGAACTTGTATGTTTGTAAACGCACCCACGACACAGGAGAAAATCCTAGTGTGGGGCAACGTTTTTTAAAAAAAAATTATACAGGGTGTAAACGGAACGCTCTCGAAACGATGACAAAAAAAAATGTTTTTATAATTTTAATCGTTTTTTGCATGGATAACACAACAATAGAGTTCATTACAACTATTATTACCTAAGAGATAAATTTAATTCCCTACTTTTATAAAAATGTCACTAGTTTTTTTACCATCAGTACATACAGCATAGTTAGTACCAGTGCAATGAAAGCTTTTATTAATAAAAAGTCTTATTTACAAACGTGTACCTAATATAGTAAAGTAAAAGAGCAAGAGAAACAGTGTAACAGCTGAACAAGACTTTTTATAAATATTATCATCTATTTCGAACCAACCAATGTTGTAATTTATTCTGCAGTAGGCAAAGTTCAAATTAATATAAACATTCATCAATATTCATTTCGATACAGTTGTAACAACAAGTGTGACTGACCCTTTGCACTGAATAGAAATATTTATATTTGAGAAAATTTCAATCAATTAGTTTAGTTTGTTTATTTTGATATTCTTGGAAGATCATGATTTTGATGAATGGGATTTAACTCGGTCAAACCTCTAACGAACTTACAATGCAAGATGAATATTCATAGGGATTGTCGTTTTTACTTTTTATCTACAAAATGCTTGTTAACTGGTATGTTTGAGACGACTACATTATCAACAACAAGCATTTGGTTTGTTACAATTGTAGCATTTTGTTAATTATCAATACATAGTATAAAACAAAGTCGCTTTCGCTGTATGTCCGTATGTATGCTTAGATCTTTAAAACTACGCAACGGATTTTGATGCGGTTTTTTTTAATAGATAGGGTGATTCTTAAGGAAGGTTTGTATGTATAATACATGCATATTGCACCCGTGCGAAGCCGGGGCGGGTCGCTAGTACACAATAAAACATTAAGTTTTTTATTTTCACTAGTTCCACCAAAACGGGGCCACTCCCGTTCAACCTGGATGTTTGTTTTTCTTGCTCATCGCAGACGCAAGACGCGTCGCGCCAGCGTGGCCTGCGACTAAGTGACCACTACTGACCTGACTCTTTGGAATAAAGATTGAGCATTAATCACCACGCTGTTTCAATGCGAGGAAATTACCTGCCGGATTCTGAAGTGGCTATTATGGTTGGGTTCGTGGATATTCCACCGTCAGGATTTTGATCATCATAGTATTCTAAGTCAGGATCTGGTTCTGATGGCAGCAGGGGTCTAAAATGGAAATGATGAAGTATTTTCATTTTTCATTACCTTCTTAACCTTAACGTTGCTTAATAGGTCCAATGGTTAGGTTAGACAGAGGTTAGTAAGTGTCGTTTCTAATTTATGACTTAAGGTAATTAAGTACCTACACTTTGAGAACTGAATACTAAAACTCTTTTAGATGTCCCATTACCTGACAGACGTAAACACAACTTTAATATATACTTTTCCATTACTGATCGTAATAAAAATAATGAAGTAACTATAATATGAACAGTAATAAATCACAGTTTATTAACCTTAATACTAATGGGATAATTGTGACATTAGTTTTATTTTTGTGGTTAAGTCCAATTACCTCAGCGGCACAGCAGGACTCTCTAATAGTTAGATAATTTAATGTGTTTGTGACATGAACACTACTTCAAATAATAGTAAAAATTGTTTCAAATGATGTTTATTTATTTTTAGCTTCTTCACACGTGTCCGCCCGCATATTCCACGTCTTGTGGCTTATGTCTTATTCCAGACTAAAATCTAACCTGTTCCAAATTTCATCTTGATCTCTACGGCCGTTTGAACGTGAAGAAGTCATAAAAGACATACAAACATTCGCATTTATAATATTAGTAGCATTATTGTGTTCTGTTTAAGGTCAAAGGCAGCGTAATTGGGAACTCCTACGCTGTGTTGTGGGTTTCCGTATTATCGTTGCTTAGCAACGGATACAATAAGAGATGTTTAGACATATTACTACAACCATAGTCTCCATACAGAACCCAAAGAGAATTTCGTATGTACAATTTATAAATACAGGAAAAATGCAATATTTATTGAATATTGATATATTCAACATCGACACCTGTTATGTTTAACACCACGCTTTTTATCCCCGAAGGGATAGACAAAGGTGTACATTGCGGCACTTAATGCCACTGTACAATGTAACACCCACTTTTCACTATTTATGTTATGAGTCCCATGTAATAGGGGGTGAGCGTATTGCCATTTACCGAGCACAATTCCAGACTCCATGCTACTACTTTGAATTTTTTTAAATCTCTATTTATAATTACAGGCGATGACAATGATTAATTAAATGATTAAGATCACAGGCTATGACACAGGGAATACTAGTGTGAGGTCCACAAAAATATAAAAATGTAATATGAAGCTTTATGACAATAAATACATTTTTATTTATTTAATATGTATAAAACTATTTCGTAACAAATAAAAATTATAACAAGTAAAATATTATCACGTCAACAATCAACTGTACATTTCTATTTTCTCCTTCAATTAATATATTGAAACATATATTAATTTGACTTACATTTCGCTAGCATCATTAAGCGCAGCGTAGTTGAAAGTGCAGCAGTGTCCTTCATAGGTCTTGACCAGAGAAAACATATCCTGACAGTCCTTTGGCTTCCTATTGAACGTGCAGTAGAGGATCAAACTGTCACATTTCTGATGTACCTGCAAAATAAGAACCATTTGTACATAAACGTTCAAGCACATGAGAACCACTGTGATTCAGATGAATTTACAAAAAATTAACCTATTTGAGCCCCATTCCAGGGCTATCTATATAGGTACGAGTGTTTTGATTTCCCAGTCACTTAACAACGTTAAGGTTGCGTTTATACTAGCGCAGAGCTGGGCGGAGAGGAGCGGTGAAGAGTGGTAGAAAGTGGTCAGTGTTTCCACTGAATCGGAGCGGACTGAAAAGAAGCACAGCGGAGCCTACTTTTGGAATCTCGCATTATTGCGCTTAGTTGCAATCAATCATTCAGATACATTGTACGTCACATGTTGTCGTTTAAAAAAAAAGCAATCATTTTACATCTTTCTTTACTTGAAGATAAAGATAGCACCGTATCGCTTCGCTTATTTTTAGTATGAATATCAGCTCATCTCTGTGCCACCTTACTCGAGCTGTTTCCATTGAAGCAGAGCAGAGGTTTTTGACTACAGAGATTAGTCAATTCGTACACTGCTAAACTTCTCTCCGCCCCGCTACGCGTCAGTGGAAACGCAGCTTAAAGATCGATATCAAAATGGTTTGCAAAAAACTGAAATATAAATAAGTCCTATAATTAATGAAATACGTTTACGAAAATATCACAAATATTCTAAAACTACGAAATAAATATTA